TAACGATAGGGTATTATTGCCACTAGTGGTACCTAAATAGAAACAGATAAGGGGACATACAGTACGTAATCAATGACGTCATAGATGGCCGTGAGGTCGGCGGCCGTAACCAACCCTCTTTGACGAATGGCTGTGGAACACATACATCCCTCCAGACGAATAAAACGCAACTTTCCCGTATAAGGGACAATGGGCGCTGCCATTTGTGATAGATAAAGCTATTCTATAGCTATAATTTTAACTGCATTACCTGTGACGTTAGTGTGAACTTTACTCAATGTGATTTCTGTGTTACTCGTTGCAATTGGTGATTCAAAAATCACATATGAATGTTTTTCCCGTGTTCATTCACTCGATATGAATCAATCTCTGACAGTAATTAAGATTAAAATAAATGATCATTTTTTAATGAAGTCATGTCAATCAACACGTGGGACATGTGTGGGTAATTATTGACAAGTTCATGATCAGAGCTTGCGCACTCTATCCCGCCAAAAATTAATCTGATGAGGGCATAAACTGTTAATCATTGTTTCTAATTTGAAGGTCCGGATAATCAGGGAAATTCCCTGCGAAAACTGAAGATCTACTCACATTTTTAGGGAATTGAATGTGGTATGTTTTCCACAGTCATTTTCCTCAGAGCTGAGATATTGCGCACCATTGCTGCAACACACCGGTAGCAAGCTCCACACTATTCCTTCACTCAGAACCGACTTAAAAATACCCCGATTCACCCCCGAGTAGTTGAACAGAAGACAAAATATTTGTTGCTCCGAAGAAATCAGAAAACTGTTGATTTTCAAGTTCTTCAGTTGTAGGACAAACCGCGGAATCAAGAAAACACGGAAAGGCCGCCGAGAGCCAGGCTTCCAAACGGGGTTGTCGCCACAGTCAACACCAAAGAGGATTGACTAAAGTAGAGGCTCAGATCTCGGGGTTGAAGTGACCCCAAGCCAAAAATAGTTCGACTCCAATGGAGAGATGGCGCCACGGTCGAATCTGACGGCTGGGCCTACTGCCTGTGCGGGTAACTCGGCAGTAGCCGTTCCGCTGTCACAGGGATAGTTTCGGAGGGGAATTTATGCTCTCCTCGTCCTCAACATGTTCTTAATGTTTTTCAGATGATTCATTTGCTGGCTAATTAATATTAAGGAATGAAACCCAGACGGTGTGATGAAGAATTAAATTCCCCATCAATCGATCCCCGTTGCATCCCTTAATCTCTGTAACAAAAAAATACAAACTACGACAAAAGTCATGGGCCAGTGAGAAACATAAATTTCTTCTCGGCGCACAGCGACTTTTCACCATTCGCCCGCGAATTAAAAATTTGTCTTTCCCCTCCTAATTGAATTTAAGGGATGAAAAAAAGGCTGTTTGACGGAGAACTAAATTACCCATGAATTAACACTCTTTCATCCCTGAATCTCTGTAAAAAATGGAAGAAACTGTCAGGGAAATCACAGCACAGTAAGAAAAATAATTGTTTCGCGGCGCACAGTAACTCCCGGTAATTAAAAATTCACCTCTCCCCTCCTAATTGAGATTAAGGGATGAAAAAAGG